GACTGATATTCCTCTTATGTCCTGCCGAGATTCGCCGAGGGAAGGATCAGTGCGACGCGCACCTTCTCACCCCCCTCGGGCTTTCCTGGCCCACGCCAGCCTCCAGTACGTATGTTGTCTGAGCCTTCTCTTTCCCCCCCCCCGCGCCCGCGCGCTCCTCCAGGGAAACAATCTCTCCCCCTCCACCTTGGCCGAGGCGTGGGGAGCGGGGCACTCCAAGACCCCCCCCTCGCACCACGAAACAGCATCACAAGAGCTCCGTGGGCAGACAGCCCGTCTTCGGAGATCCCTGCGGCCCCGGGGCCGTCACAAAAAACGACTCGGGACGAACCATTCTGGAACGAATTTATCATCGTCCGAGAACCTTCCCCAGACACCCGACGTCGTGACGTTTCCACAACGTCGACCCCCCAGAGGTCTCGACCCCCTTTCCCCGGAAACAGTTGTTCATCCTGCACTACACGTCGGTCGGAAGAAGTAGGTAGAACTATGAAGTCAGAAGGCGGATATAGTAGATCCTCTCAGAGAAGAACAAAACACAGCAAAAACATGGTGCTTGAAATAATTTGGGATCTGGGAATCCAAAAATACTTACTTCCAGCGACCGGCGTGTAACGCTTTGGCGGCCCCGAGGCCCAGTAAAGAGGACTTCGCGGGCCGAGCATGGCAAAAAAACACCAGCCGCCGTGAGCCTTGCCACACCGCGAAGAGGGGCCTCTGGCTCCGACTCGGCCCACTGGCCGGCTCCCGGTATCTGGCCATCGCTCGGACGTCCATTCCCCAGGCTTTTTGTTTCGGTCTCGTGCGTGGCTTTTTCGCCGAACGATCAAGGGTGCTCCTCGATGGCTCTCGCCGAGACACGATGCACACGTCCGAGCGATGCCAAGGCCTCGGCTTTGTCTCTTCTGCGAGCGCGGCGGCGTGCGCAGAGCGGCTACGCACAAGCACTGCCGTGATGTCGGGCGTGTCCCCCTACAGGGGGATTTTCGACGAAAAATGAAACATACCCAAACAGTGCACCAAAAAGGTCAAAAAATACCCCAAAAATGCTCCCCATACTATTATTGGACTATTTTTTTATTCGTGGGGCATTTTTTATTTCTCGTCGAAAATCCCCCCTCTACGGGGACAGGCCCGACTTACCACTGCCGCCCTGGGCGGCGCTGCCGCGGCGGCGAAGGCCGGCCTCAGCGGGCGGCGCCCCGGGCGCGGGCGGCCCGCCGCGCGAGCCTCGCCCGCTCCGTGGCCGCCACCTCCGCCCGCCAGCTGGGGTTCCCCGGCTCGCGGGCCTCGCCCTCGCTGGAGGCAGAAAACAACGGCAGGGGGCCACAGACTGTCGGCGCTCCGCGCGGACATCCTGGACCTGCGCCGCGGGCCCCCCTCCCAGGCGCGCCGGAGGGCGCGCCGCGCGAGGGCGGCGCCGCGAGGGCGCCGCCGCGGGGGGGGGGGCCCAGCACCGATCCCAGGCATCCTTCGCGGAGCGCCGAGGGTTTATGGTTGTGCCGATTTTTCTCCTTCGACTCGCAGAACGCACTTACCCAGGAGACCAGGACAGCGGCACGCCCAAATGAATTCAAAACTGATGAGAAGGATGCACGACAAGGATGCAGGCCCATTGAACGTCCGCGTTGCAGCTTTTTCGAGCGCGGGGGGCAGTCGAACGTAGTCAAGGATTTACCAAAGAGGCACGGATGCAAGCGTACCGCTGAGGAGGTTATCCTTGCCATCTGCCTCGACTGCATTGGCTCTGTAATATCTGAGAGGCTACCTTTTTATTCTGCTGGCCCAAGGAAGTTTCCTCGCATGGCATCCCCCTCCCCTCCCCTCCCTCCGCCGCCTTTTCAAGCAGCGCTGGGCCAAAAAAGGCGTGGACGTGAGTCCCGACTGGTGTCAATTCTAAATTTCCTTTCGGGCGTCGCCACACCCGCCCCCCCTGCCCCCCCTCCATGCAAGAAAACTCGCCAGCAGCTGCAGAAGAACTCTTCCGAGTAGATGTGGTCGGAGGATCGAGCCGCATCGGCGACGTCGGAAATGCATCGGCGCCGTCGGAAGACGGTTCCATCGGCGATGCGGCGCGATCCTCCGACCACAACTAGTCGGACCCCACCTGGGAGGCCTGCAGCATCTTACCAGCCTGGAACATATCCCTATCCCTATGCTGGGCATCGCCCCATCACGATGGCGATCTTAAGGATTCCCTCAGTTTCGGAGGGCGCATCCCAAAGACTGTCGTCGCCTTTTGGCGTGTCAATCTCAGTAATAGGGATAAGTTCGAGGCTGGTGAGCATCGAAATGTGCTGGCCCCCAGGCCCGCAACCCGGGCGACATCGCCAGCTGTGATCAAGGGCAGCGCCAGGACAGCTCGGCGGGGGGCGGGGGACGGGGGCGCAGCGCCGGCCCGGGAAGAAGCCCACTGCGGACCCCTCGGAGCTGCTGCTCACACGCAGCTTCGCTGGTCTCCTCCAATCGCTGCCCACCTACCAGACCACCCCGACCTAACCCGAAGGCCCGAATGTCGGGATCGGGGGGGGGGTGCAGGATCCACACGTGTTTGCCCCATGCTCCCCGACCCCTCCCCCCACACTGGGAATGGAGGGCAAATTGGGGCGGGGCCTTCGGGATGGGCTGGGGTGGTTTAGTGGGTGGTGAATCGCCATGTCGTATCGCCGCAGCCCCCGCAGCGCCACACCCTGCCGGAAGAAGGACTTCGGCCACTCCGGCGCGAGCTCCGCGCAGCGCAGGGCGTCGTCGAGCGCCTCCTGGAAGCGCCCCGCCTCCACGCGCGCCGCGCTGCGGTTGGACAGCAGCTTCTCGTTGTCTGGAGCGTAGCCGAGGGCCTCGGAGTAAAGGGTTATGGCATCGTCGAACTGGCGCTTCTTGAAGCACTCGTCGCCCCTGGCCTTGAGCTCACTCGCGCCACCCGCGGCATGCTCCAGTGCCTCCTGGTCCTCCTCACACAGGCTGTCCGCGACAGGCGGGCCCTGGGCCGCCGCGCAGCACCGGTCCTGGTCCAGGATCCAGTCCCACGGACCTCTGCACCCGTCCGCCTTTCGCAGCTGGATCGACAGCGCGGGTCGAGTCTCTCGTGCTTCGACGCCGTCTGCTCTGGCAGCGACCTCCGTCGTCACCTTCACCATGCTCCAGTCTGTCTGGCTGGGGACCACCTGCTGGCAGAGCCTCCCGGACAGGAGCGGGCAGCCCTCCGCACCACGCACGAAGACGCGCAGCCCGCTGCCCCACACGTCCAGGCCCCAGGTGCGGGACGGAGCCAGCACCGCCCTGGCAGCGTCGAGCTCGGCCCGGTGCAGCACCAGGTGCAGCGACACGAGCTCGTCGGTCTGCGACTGCACCAGCTCCGCGAGCATCGCGGCGGGCCGCACGCGTGAGCCCGCGCCGAGCGGCGGGTCCGCAGGCGCAGGGCGCCCGGGCGGCAGCGCGGCCCAGCCGGCCAGCGCGTCCGCGGGCCCCGCCGCGGGCGCGTCCAGGAAGGGCCCCTGCCAGGAGCGCTCCTGGGCCTTGACGAGGCCGATCACCAGGAGCCGGCCCCCGCCCGAGGGGGCCTCCGGGTCCGCGTCCAGGTGCCACCAGCAGCAGCCGGGCAGCACCTCGTGGGCGAGCTCGCCGCTGGCCCAGCCGCAGAGCGGCTCCGCCCCCTTGCGCGCGGCCGCGAGCTCGCGCCCGCAGGCCACGCGGAGGCCGCGCTCGCAGACGCTGACGTCGAACTCCTCCTCGGACACGCCGTGCCAGGCGGCGCCGGGCAGCGGCAGCCTCAGCACCACGGTGCCCATGGTCTGCTGCCAACGCGCGTGGCCGTGCCTGGGGAAGCCACAAAAAAGGCACCGATACAGCTGCTCCCCGGACCTCTCCCGTGGTGCGGTCTGGCCAGGATTTCGAGGCGAATCCAGCGGTGGCGACGAGGGCCTCCCAGGAGGCCCAAAAATATGAGAACAAAAAAGTGGCATAAACATAACAACTCGGAGGTCCGAGCGGATTTCTCGGATCGGCGCTGGACCCCCCTCCCTGGCGCGCGGAGCGCGCCAGGGGCGGCGCCGGATGCGCCGCCAGGGGGCCTCAGCGCCGATCCGAGAAATCCGCGCGGACCTCCGAATATTTATGTTTCTGACACTTTTTGTCCCCCCCAAAATGAAGGGGCCCTGGGACACACAAATAAATGCACACAAATAAAAAGATTCCCCATATGTTCCAATATGTTCTGGAATTTGGTCTTTCCCCCACTTCCCATATTTTCCCATATTCTCGGGGGAATCGACGACTCATTGTGTCTGTGTGTTTTGTCCCTCCTGACAGAAAAAAAAAGGAAACGGGCGAAGGATGGAGGTGCGGGTGCCGTTTCCTCCTCACGTGTGCCGGCCGGCCGCCGCGTGCGCCCAGAAGTCCCGACCCTTTTTCCAGAACCGGTTTTTCGTCCCGAGTCGGTTTTTGACGGTCCCGAGGCCCGGCGAGGGCCCCCCGAGGCCGAGAAAGCAAAAACCATTGCCCGTCCTGTTTTTTTTTTCACGACGCGATCATGTCTGGGTAGAGGTATGGGTGCCGTTTCCTCCTCATGCGTGCCGCCCGGCCGCCGGGTGCGCCCAGAAGTCCCGGAGGCGGAAGACCTCGGAGGCGGCGGGCGGGCCCGTCGGCTGCTCGGAGGGCCCCACCCGGCCCGCGGGCAGCGCCGCCATGGTGGCCCTGCCGGCCGACGGCAGCCCCAGAGATCCAACGCATTGAAGAAATCACGACGAATTTGTTTCAAACATCCGTCGTGATTTCTTCAGTCCCTAGGGGTTCGAAAACTGTAGAAAAAATGTGTCCTACAGTTTTCGACCTCTATAGGGACCCCTATACTGGGCCCCGGGACCGTCCAAACACGACTCAGGAGGAAAGACCGGTCCTGGGGAATGGGTCGAGACTTCAGGGGACACCGCATTGAACAAATCACGACGTCGGATCTCTGGGGAGAACGGGCGGACTCCGCCGCGGCGGACGAGGACCGGAGGACAGCGCGGGGCCTTTGAGCCGGGGCCGCCGACCTACTCCTCCCCGTCGCTCGGACGCCCATTACCTGTGTTTTTTTCGGTTTCGTGCGCGCGTATATTTTATTTGGTTTGTTCTTTTTTGTTGTTCAACCTTTTCGCAAAATGATCCAGGGTGCTCAATGATAACCCCCGCCGAGAAAAAGTGCACACGGCCGAGCGATACCAAGACTCTGCCCCTGCGTTTCGTCAGGTCGGCGGCGCTCTGCGTTGCCGCGCGGGCGCCGCGACCGGTCGGATCGCTGTGGGGCTGAAGGAAGGGGATCGGGGAAGAGAGAGAGCGAGAGAGAAAAACGGGCAGGGGCAGCGGAAGGGATGGGAGGCGAGGGAACCAAAAGAAAACGCAAGGACATACAGGCTAGCTCTCGGAGCGCAGCCCAGATCTCAAAAGCTGCACGGCGAGACACAGCTGACGAAAAGAAGCCCTCTGCGCCCTGGCACCCCATTCAAGCGAAAAGCTCGAGAGGGCGCCCAAAAGGGCCCACACTCACCACCGTGCCGTCGGCACTTAGCGGAGTCTTCACCGATGTGTCTGCATATTGAGTGTTTCATGTTTGCCAGCGTGGACCGCACATCGTGAGACCTTGCACTCTTTGCACTGGTGGTGGAGACTAAGTACGGGACGGGGTGCGTGGATTGGAAGGGGCCAGCCACTCGTTGGCAAAAGCTTTGCCCCAGTTTGTGGTCGCCCCAGAGGTTTGGTTCGTGGTTGGATATCAGAGCAACGACAGCACCCTTTACCTCTGTAGCACCACGCAATTGCGGATAACAGTGAAGGGTCGGGCGTGGGGTGGGTCGCGGGTGGGTCGCGGGTAGGTCGCGGGTGGGTCGGGAGGGTCGCAGGTGAGTCGCGGGTGGGTCGCGGGTGGGAGGCGGGAAGGTCGCGGGTGGGTCAGGCGGGGGTCACGAGCGGGTCGAAGGTGGCTTGCGGGCAAGGTCGCGAGTGGGACGACGACACCACCAACAACAACAATCATGTTACCCGAATGCTCTAGGATCCCACATGCAAGATGCATCCAGCATGCTGTCCCGGCCCTCATTGAGGATGCTCCTGCACAAGGGGGCCCGAGCTCCCCTTGCCCCGATCTCCCGCCCGAGGAGCTCTTGACGACACCCCGTGTCGCGAGGACCTGCGCGCTTGTCCTCTGACACCGCGTGGGTCGTCCAAGCCTCAACGATCGCGGTCCTCGCGCGGGCCGCTCGACACCGGCCGACTCCGGGCCGCACGCGGCGCCCAGCCAGGCACGCCCGCCCTGCGGGGGCCGACGCCGCATCGACACGACGCGGGCCTGCCGCTGCATCTGGGCCCCCTGCCCTGCCCTGCCCGCGCGGCGCCCCGCGGGCGAGGTGCGGCCACGCGCGCGCTCCCGCGCCGCGCACCCCCCCCCCTCGGGGAAGGCCGGCAAGGCCGCACGGCCGTCGCCTCGCCACCGCTCGGACGTCCATTCCCCGTGCGTTTTGTAGGCGTCGTGCGTTGTCTGATATTGTCTCGCCAGATGATCCAGGACGCTCCTCGCGTGCCCCCGCCGAGAAAAAAAACGCACACGTCCGAGCGATGCCAAGTCGGTCGGCCCAGGCGGCGCATGCGCGCGGTCGCGCCACGCGCCCCCGCGGGTGGTCGAGACCGCCGAGCCGACCCTGAGATCCGACGCCTCGAACAAGAGCTGAGACACAGCAGCAAGTCGCGACTGGAGTCCTGGACCCCATCCCTCTGCGCCGCTTCCCGCGCCGGATCGACCTGCGATGGCGCTGGGGCTTCGGAGCCTGGCGCAAACACCCGCAGCCCGACAAGCAAGAAAAGTGAGACGCCAGGGTCTCACGGAGCAGGGACCGACCGTCCCGGCATTTGTATCGCCTTATCACAAAATGTTAGTAGAACTCAGAAATGTACCAAGAACAAAAACAAGTTTCTGAGAACATAAACCCGAGACAGCCCCAGCCAGAAATGTTCTGCGAACATCTGCTGCAGACCACAACACGTTCTTAGAACATTCTTTGGCGGGCTTACTGGGAAGCCAGGACGCTTCGCCACTGCTTGAGATTAGGTCGAGCGTTTCTCCCTGCAGGAGGATATGGCGCAATTATATATCTATATACATATATATATGTGTATATATATGTATGTATATACAAGATATTTTAATGAAGGAAAACAGACAGCACAACAAACAACCATAATAGTCAACACAAAGATTGAACAAATAGTCCCCAGACTACCCTTTGTGATTACTTTTGAAGATTCCACCTGCAGAGCGACACGCCCGACTTCAGCATTGAGCGAAAGCCCCCGCGCCCCCAGAGGTGGCCCGGGCCGTCGACCCTGGCAGCCGTGCCCGCCAACAGGGGGGTCCACGGGGGCGAGGTAGCCCGGGGGGCGCCTCAGAAGACAGCGCACGACGCGAAGGATTCACGCGAATCTTGCGCGGTACCCTCGCGAATTTCTCGCGGGGGGCTCGGACTCTCGCGAATGTTTCGCGGGAGGCGCAGGGGCCTGGACAGTCGCGCAGGGGGGGGGGGGGCGAAGAAGAGAGGAGGGGAAGTCAGATGCCACAGCCTCGAGGGCCACTTCCGGGGCCAAGCGAATGACGGACAATTGGAGCAGGGAGCGGCTAAGGATAGAGAAAGGGGGCGAAGGCTAAGAGCCGGAGGGGAGCGCGACCAGCGCACCGAGGAGCAGAAGCGGAGAGAAAGGGAGTTTTCCGGTTGATCACGCCAAGGAAACGGCGAGATTGATGACTGAATTGAGGCTCTGACTTTGCACACGCACACAACGAGAAGACGTGGACGGCCCCTCGGCGCCGAGGCTGGGGGCGCCGGGCGTCGCCGCAGAGCCCAGATGTTGAGCAGGGACCGGCCGCCCCGGCATCTCCATAGGCCTACCACGAAATGTTCGTAGAGCCCGAACATGTTCGAAGAGCAAAGACGATGTTCTGAGAACGTGTCGTGGAAACCACAAAAGGTTCTTAGAACATCGTGTGGTGGGGCTGTAAGCGAGCCAGGACGCTTCGCCACTGCTTGAAACTCCCGATGTCGCGATTCTTTTCGCAGCGGCGCCGACCCCAAGAGTTAAGCCGGGCATGTCCCTTTACAGGAGGAATCTTCAAAAATAGTCAAAAATAATGAGGGGACTATTTGGGGGGCATGTTTGTTGGCCATTTTCTGATATTCTGGTATCTTTCTGATATTTGGAATTCTCCGTCAAAAATTCCCTCTGTAGGGGGACATGCCCGACCTAACCCAAGAGGTCTCGACCCCTTCCCCGGAACCGGCTTTCCCTCCCGAGGCGGCGGCTTCTGACGGGCACGAGGCCTGGCAAGGGCCCCCCTGGAAGCCGAGAAGCCGCCGGGGCCGCCAGGCTGTGGGGCGAAGGGTGCTGCTCCCTGCACCAGCTTTACCAGCCTCGAATTTATCGCTATCCCTAAGATTGACACGCCAAAAGGCGATGACTCTCTTAGGAATGCACCCTCAGAAACTGGGGGAATCCCTAAGATCGCCATCGTGACGAGGCGATGCCCAACATAGGGATAGGGATAGGTTCCAGGCTGGTAAGGTGCTGCTCCCTGCACCATCTGGAGTTTCAAGGCTCCAGTGTTACAATCCCGCTTTCTGCTTTCCAATGTAAACTGTCGAAGTCCGCGCGAAGGGGGGAGCCCCGAACCAGAAATTCACCACGCCCGGATCGCGAGCTCTCAACAATTCACCACGCCCGGGTCGCGTGCTCTGAATTCCCGGGGGGGCGTGGGACAAGTGAA